AGAGTAACGGCATTGACATTCCCTATGCATTGTCTACCTGTACCAGGAGAAGTGTGATACATCCTGCCTGTATTGTGTTTCAAACACTTATTAGAGGCTCTTTGTTTACTAAGAGATAAGTGTGAACATTTTATATTTATACCTATATAATATCCTCTAGTATTTTGGCTCCAACCAAAACAAAACCTAACTTTTAATATACAACAATGTTGATGAAAGAAGGGAGGTGTGTACCAAAGACATGAGACAGTCCTAGAAAGGCTTCTCTGCTTCTAGCTCTTCTTCCTCCTGTCAGACAGTCTGGATCTCTGCTCTGCGTGATGAATTCTGCTATGGTAGAGGCAAGTATGTCTCAGGTCACAAATTCAACCTTAGATAGGCAATACGAAAATGTAAACACACAGTGTATCCGTTTTATGAGCTACGTCTCTTTGAAGAAGAGAATTCCGACATCCTGGTCGTGGATGGGAAGCATTAGGAAGACATGATTGAGGATGATCAGGTCACAGCTGCAACGGCACCATTTAAGAAGGGAGAAAGGCAGGCCTGGCTTCCAGATAAGTGTGGGACAACTTGAATAGAATGAGGGATAGAGTGAGTGACAGGAACAATCTCACGGATTACTGCTCTGGCATGCAGCGCAGGGTGTTCAGCCAGCTTGCCAAAGAACTGGACCAGAGAGAAGGGAGTCAGCAGATTAAGTTCAGGAATTAAGCTTATTAACGAGTTTTCCTGCAGAGTGTATCCACCCATCCCGATAGACAGATTCCTTTGCTTTCCCAGCTGCTGGGCTATACAGGAAAATAATTCCATAGAAACGGCTGATGACATGAGGACTATTGATTTCTTCCTTTAGAGGGAACTGTCATTGACCTGAGGCAGTGCTACTCTATACCCATTCATTTGGGGCTGATTTATATTTGAACCAGAACAAGTTTGCTTGATTTAATCACGAACTGAATATATTTGAATAGAGATTTCTCATGTTCACATTCTCATCCCCATTTTTTTTAGCAGTTTCTTTATTTAGATTAAATTTTCACTATTTCATCCATAATTTAAGAACAGGGAAGGAGGTATTTGGAATTGTAGGTAAATTATATTCTCTTGTAGAAAGCGTAATGATCGGAAGTTAGTTAAAAACACCTCAGCTCCGTTCTGATTTTCATGCATGGAGCAGTTGTTTTGACAGATGGAGGGCTTTATTTTTGTAACGGTCCAGGAAAAGTCTGCAGCGCTGTCTAATCAGTGCTCCGTATCTGTATCTGTGATGTTTGTTTTCGATTCATTCTGCTTTCAGCTCCTTTATCTTTTTCAAGGAGAGATATTTTCTTTACATTTTTTCTTTGGGATAATATTTTTATGCATAACTCTTCTATTCATGTGATCCAGAAAGGCTAGAAACCCCCAAAAACTCAAATTCAAACAGCATGTCATGAGAGGATGATTTATCCGGGTCCCTCAGGTGTGGGCTCGGATATTATTGGATTATAACTGCTCTTGCTTCTCAACTAATGATTTTGGGGTGCTGTTGATCTGTAGGGCTCCGTGATTGACTGACTTTCAGGACATCAGCTTCGTACCAAATTCATCTGTGTATATCAACTTAAGTTCCAAAAGGATCAAGGCTTGAAAAATGAATTCATTTTGAGCTGACCGCACTGTCTTTATTGCGCTGTAAATCCTCCAGTGTGGAGCAAGGCAGTGCAGGAGTTTAATGCCAAAAAGTACATTACATTCTGAATTTTGAGAAACGTCATGGTTCAAGGAAAGGTCAGAAACACTCCTCTTCTGTCTCCCCCAGAGCAGCAACGTGTGAAGTGTGTTTCCTTTCGCTGCCACGCTTCCTCCTAGTTTAGAGGAATGTCCAGGCGGCCTCGAAATAAAATGGATATCCTGTTTGGAACACTCACCAACCTTGGCAGCCACACACTAGAAAAGGACGGCAAATGAATGACAGTATTGATAGGCTTTCATGTAGACGTTCTCGTAAGAACAGATCCTTTCTGGCACGTCTTTCAAGTGTTTGGTTCCTCTGGGTTCGGTTCTTTCTGTCTGTGTCCCTCCTCCATGATTGCTGAGGATTCTTCTTTTGGCTATTTTTGAACCAATCTCAAAAGTATTTCCTTCCATTCTTTTGTGTTCCTACAACCATCTTTTTACCCTCTAAGTCCTCGAAATTGCTCCAAACTCATTTTACATCAACCTGTACTTTGAAAGTAATACTAAGATAGCCCCGGGGCATGGCAAACTGCGACTGACTGCCAACTGAGAGAGTTCAGTGGGGAAATTAAGGAAATCATTCTAGGCCTTGGGCCAACAGGGTGGGGCTCCATTTTCTGCAGCTCAGATAGACTCACTTGTTATCAGCGCACTCAGTCAGCCCCTTTGCCAGATTTCCCAGCTACAATACCATGATTGATTTCGTTCCAGCAGCTTTGCAGGAGAATGGATGTCATAGCATAGTGGTTCCCTATTTAACAGTTAATAGAGAACAAATTGAGAATTTGATATTCAATGTGGTCCAATTTTGTGGCTTTCAAGGGCTTGGGGAGTTTTTCTTGTGCTAATTATAACCCGCTAGTTTCTTTGGAAAGACAGACTTAGTTGCTGGTAAATTGCTAACAGGTTATCTAATCTTTAAGAAATAATGAACTCACAAAAGCTGTGGTATTAAAATTCATAACAGTAGCAAGGGTAACATGACCCTTCCTTTGTGTTTACAAATTATGTTTTGTTTTATACCACAGAGAATCATTGTCTCTTTTAAATTGTTAGAAGGTATTAGATGTGAATCACAGAGATGGAAAAGTTAGTCTTATATGCAAATGGCATGTGAGTTCCCACTGGCCAACTGAAGTCCTGGATTTTTCTGACATGAGCAAGGCATCCGTCTGGGTCTGCCACTAGGACTTCCTGGAATATCCATTTGCTTACCCGTGTATGCACAGCACAGCCGATATCTTGATTTTGACATATGGTGCCGGAACTCATTATTTATCATCTTGAATATGACAATATTGAGCCCACAGTGAGCGATGACTGTCTCTGTAAAAGCAGAATATGTGGCCACCTACATATTTCAAAGCAAAAAAATATTCTAAAAATGGCTTCTTTGAAAATGACTGATTTTTTTTTTTTGAGCAGTACAAATATATCCTGTGGGCAAATCCTTGAATACTTCATTTGTAAATGAATTTATCAGATGTTTCCTTTCCCCAAATGCCTTCACGGTTTGTCCTGTAGGGGAAGAAGGAGGACCTGTTACAGAATGAGGCTCCTGCTTCAGAGCAAGGAGGGGTCAAGCTTTGTTTTCTTTTGAGCTGGAGGCAGCCTGCTCCAAGTGAGCAAGGAAGGGGAGGTACATAGGCTGTATGCTAGGAAATTCTCCCCTGGAGCAGAATGATTTGCAAAGTCAGTTGATTTCGGAGCATAATTTCATGCCCTGTCTGGAACAAGGAAAAAAAGAGAGAGATATATTTTGGATCAGTTTAACAAAACAAGGAAATTGTGTTTTTGCTGTAGTTCTTACCTCCCCAAATTACACTTTACTGTTAAGAGAGCATGAGCACTCATATCTGAAACTTATATTTTGTTTCCTATAAGTCTAATTCACCTTTAGAGAAGTATCATTCAAAAGACAGCATCCGGCTGTTCCTTAGTACAATCAGAATAAAAGCAGGCACTTTCCTGAATTTAGATGTCAATTACTTTGCTGAAGTTGCCTGCTCCTGATTTTATGGGCCAACGGTGTTAAGATGGCAGTCCTCAGCAGCAGGTACGGCATGCAAATGCCATGTGGAAACGTACTCAGACTGTTCTAGCACCCCAGTTATAAACTCTAGCTGACTGCATACGTCCAGATGCATTCTGAGTTCACACCTGAGAAGTCACGGGTCACCTGAAAGCTTTGAGGGAAAAACACACTTAGGAACATAGAATCAACCTGCTTCTCCATTTGGGTGAACCAACCTCATTTACACAGTAGTCTGCTCGGGGAGTTTATGTGCATTCCTGGTTTTAGCTGTAGGGCTGGCTTTCAAATATTCAACTGCAAAATGACTCAGAAAGCTATGAGCAACCTGGAAAAACTCTTCCAATGTATTTTTATTATGTAGCGTATGGATGCATACTCGCTAGAAAGAAACCAGATTAGATCACTAATGGTGGTTTAATTCCTATTATTTTGCATTTTTTTTCTCATTTTCTAAATTTCAACTCAAAGGTCACTTTTGCATGGAGAATCTCACCAGCACCTCATTTGAGTAATTTGTTATCACAAGGGTTTGCTGCCATCTTATTGGTGGGAAAAGTCATGTAAGAGATTGGTAACCCCAAACATTTTATTCCGTTAGGTGGGACAGTTTTAATGGAAGAGTTATGGAGGGTATATGTCTTAGGGATATCACTACTATGATGAAACATGTTTTAAGCAACTTGGAGAAGAAAAATTCTGAGTGACTTACACTTCACATCAGAGTTCGTCATTGATGAAGGCAGGACAGGAGCTCACACAGGACAGGATCCTGGAAGCAGGAGCTGATACAGAGGCCATAGAAGAGTATCACTTACAGGCTGGCACCCCATGGCTTGATCAACCTGCTTTCTTGCAGAACTTAGGACCACCAGTCCAGGGATGATACCACCCACTATTGGTACCTCCCACATCAATCAATAATTTGAAAACTTCCTATGGGCTAGCTTACATACCAATCTTAGGGAACTATTTTCTTAACTGAGGTTCCCTCTTCTCAGAGAGCTATAGTTTGTGACAAGCTGATATAAAACTAGCCAACACAGTATGTTATATAATGTTTCCTCAAAGTTTAAGAATGTTTTATCTTAATACATGTAATGCTGTGAACAAAATAATAAAATCAAAAATGAGCCCTAAAAAGCTGGGGAAAAGATGCATATAAAATATGCCACAGCTTGTCCAGTATCCTGCATTCCTGTCAGGAGGATGGCTAGAACTAACTGGTTTGCCTTTTGTGTTACAGAAAGAATGTGCTAATTTCATCAAGGTCCTGAAGGCTTATAATCATACTCACTTGTATGCCTGCGGAACTGGGGCCTTTCATCCAATTTGCACCTATATAGAAGTTGGACATCATCCTGAGGTAATCCTGACTTATGAAAACGCTTTTCATTCCTTCTTCCTTCCTGCTCAATGGCTTCATGGCTAATTTCTTCAGTTCATTTCACTTCTTGTTCACTATTCATGGGACCTACTTCAAATTCCGATGCTGCGATTAATTTTAGTTTATGAATATAAAACAAAGAGACCCACACTCAACAATAACAATGCACTAGGAGCTGCTCTCACTCTGGATTTCAGATCGTCCTCTTTGTACGTGTGAAACGTGTAGGCGTGAATGTAGAATCCTTCCTTCTACCTTGCTACCATTCTCCTCCATATCCTCTTCCGTCAAAGGTTTCGTCTCCCACTGTTTTATTATGTTGTGTGTTTTTTTTTTTTTTTTTTTTTTTGCTCAGGATTAGAAAGGATACTTTCTATCCATGAGTTCAAGGATGGAATCTCACATTTGAGCTCTTGCTTTGTTACATTGCTTTTATATTTTGGTTATTACATTGGCATAAAAAAGAAAAAGATACATTTTGTCCTACTAAAGATGTTGTACAAAGAAACTTTAGTGAGAGGATTATAGCTCAATAAATTTACATCTACATTAAAAGGAGGGGCCCTTACTAATATTGAAAGGAGTGTGTTGAGTTGGGCTTCTTGGTTGTCTCAATTAGATACACTGTTGTCTTTCTTGGCACCAAATTCTCAAGAACAACAGTATTTGCATGGTGAGAAAGTGATCTGTGGCAGAATTTTCTTCCAAATGAAATTTAGAAATGCTTGAGCATTTGTTGACAAATAAAGAATTTCTTCACAGAATATTTCTGGAAACCTAAAGATAACGATGGAATTCACATGCAGCCCCTTATGTCTTAAACTCGAGGCTCCTGCTGCATTTCCTTTAGGTGTCCTAGGGGAGAGGAACGTGTTGTTTTTATTCCACAGACAAGAAAGCGAACCAATTCATGCTTTATCTCCTCCATACAAGATGCCACATCACGGGCTGGGTTTCCAGTGCTAAAACCAGCTCCGTGTCGTAGTTTCCGCTGTGACGTTTCTGATGAGACTGGAAAGTCACGATACTTTCCCTGGAACACATCCATAGACTGTACGCTGTATGCCTACACCCACCTACCCTTGTAGTCCTCCTCTTCTTCCTCACAAGTATGTATGTAATGGTTTCTGATGTCGACAAGATCTTTCATCGTGACGTGGTTTTTAGGAAAAAAGGTTCCCTTTATGTTCCCGGACTCACATCGAGGAAATTAAGACTCAGTTCCCACACGATACTGTAGATAATACACAGTGCTTTGAGTTGGTCCTCATTAAATAACTGTCCCCACACTGCCATCGCAGATGGTAAAGTGCTGATGCCAATAAGGGACCCTAAAAGCTGGATCCACTGTGTTGCACATTCAGTACCTGGCATCTGAATGCTTCCAAAGAGCTGCGCACAAGAGTACGGTAGCGCAATTCTGGACTCTCGTACCACAGAGGAGCAGGAAAGTGTTGATTCTGGTATAACAACAGGCTTCAGAGTGCATGCTGCAGTTCACTAGCTGGGAAGCTCTGGAAAAGCAACATAACATCTCAGAGTCTCTGCTCATAATAAGGAAAACAAAACAAAACTGTCTTTGCCTAGGCATCCACGTATTAGGTTGACTCGTTACCTCAAACTACCTTCTACTCCCTTCACATGTAGGGCTACACAAACTCAAAGTGTCTGTCGTTTTGAAGCATGCCCTTCTTCTGGCTTCAGATTCCTGGGTTTTCACCACCCTTTCCTCAGCTTTAGCTGCCTCATGTTGAACCAATTGCTTCTTTTACTGAGTCTATGTTTCTAATGTAGACAATTGGAAGGGAAATATGCAAGATCTGATAGCTAGTCATTGCTGGAAAAGAATGTCTAATACTAGAAAGTGTAAAAGCCTTTGCTGTTAGTCTGATTATAATTGCCAGCTTACCTCTCATTAACTTCTTACATCAGAGATTATAAATAATGTCACTAGGCTATCCTTACTAGATGTCTCTGCACGTATCTTAAATCCTGCATCTTCAGATTCTGAGACTTTCAATACTTTGGTATCTATTTATGTTAAAATTTTATACATCTATGAATTGTTGTCATTTTTCATGGTGATGGTCCCTTCCCCTTCTATAATTGCTGCTTTGTGTTGTTAATAATGTATTATATTTCAAGTCAACTATGCCTTGCCGCTCTTTGGGTGGGCTGCTAGGGGGGTGAAGGGCTACAGGCCATTTGCTCAGGCTCCCCTCCACTGAAATAATAAATATGCCTGGCTTCCTATGTGAGCTTCTTTGAGATGACATATTGAGGTGCAAGTTTTTTTTTTCCTGAGAAACTCAGAGCTCTGAGACAGGTCTACCTTAAGAAGCTTGGTGATTTTGATTTGCATGAGAACTATAAATTATGAAATACCATTCCAGAGTAGGAGGTCAGAAAGAAGATGATTATGCAATTACCTGGGGAATTTGGAGCAGTCTAGACAGGCAATCTAGGAAATTCTGGAAAAGATATTATCACGAGGGCTTGTCTAGACTACATCAAATTTAATTTTTAATGCTTAAGCTGCCTTCGGAGACAATCTGCTTTAAATTGATCTATACTATTACTTAAAATGCTATCCTTGGCTTTAACCAATTTTGCTGTTTATGAAGCCGAGAAAGGGAGACAATGTGCACTTTATTCTGTTAGAAAAGAATGACACTAATGGAAAGCCTGGAGGAGGCGGGGGAATAAAGAGTCACCAGGAGAGACGCTGGAAATGCTGGATTGAGATTCACACACTCGTGGAGTCTGAAAATCCCATCCTCAGAAATCCTTTTAAAAAACATTTATGTTCTACGGTATAATAATATAATTACATCTTCTGTCCCTTCCCCTTCCTGTCCCCAAACCCAAATGTTCCATCCCACCCCACTGCTCTCTTTCAAGTTCATATCCTCCTTTTCTTCAGTTACAAAGATTTTCCTCTTAAATTTTAGGCTGGAAATTGCATGATTATTTTCCTGATAACTGTTCCACATTAGAAAAATGAAACATAATTTTATTATAATGATTTTATACAGTGTTTTTAGACTACAAAAAGCGTCTTCCCTTTTAGCATTCGGAAAGACTATCAGCAACACTGCCATATTCAACTTCTGCTCTGCAATGCACCTCCCTTAAAGTAACTACTGCCTCATTCTTAGTTCCCAAGCTCTTAGAAACTTCACCATTAGAAAGCTGCATATGGACTGAACATCTTTATGACAGAATGCCACAGAAGTTACAACTCTGCTTTTGGAAAAATGCAAGACCCCATTCATCATTTAAGAGCTTTGACCTTTATAGGAGAAAATTATCACTTGCTATTTCTAAAGATAAAACAATTTCCAAAATACCATCAAATTTAGCCTTGTAGTTGTGAAAATAGATTTTTTTTTTGCCTTTTGGTAGCTATATATACACTCTTAAATAATGTCTTCAAAAAACCTAGCTTTTCTGTCTGGTGAATGCCTTCTGACCACACGCAATATGTCATTGATTGCTGTATTAAACAGATTTTCTGTTTCCTGTGGTACATTTGGGAATTGGTAGACATATTAATTAACTCCAGCTCTGTAAGATATGTGTCAATCAATTCTTGGGCATCTGCCAATAGCCCTTGACACAGCAGATAACTGCCAACAAGGTCACATGCCTCATACACATGTGTACATTTGTCATAAAACGCTTGCGGAGTTCACAGAGGGAATGATTCAGACTAGAGCACAGATGAGCTTAGAGTTGCAGTTCAGCATCTCTGCTATCCACAGGAAAATTGTGAGTCATCCTTGAGAGGCCGGCTATTCCCAAAAGGCTTAACGTATATGGTATTTTCCTTCAAATTTACATCTGTTGGTAAAAAACAATATGAATTTAGGAAGAGTATAGCTTTTCGAATAAGTCTCTGGATATAGTCTCAAATTCCAAATAGGTCTCTTCTATGTATTGGCAGAAATCCTAAAGAAAGATGGACCCAGATGTGCGCTGGATAGTATTAACTCTATACTCTCATAATGTCAGGCTCTCAATTTATGATGGAGGCAAATGGACATTAAGAAACGCAATGAGTCTTAATGGCCATCTCTCAGGTCACTTCTGCAATGACTGCCAACGTACTGCTGGAAATCAAATTGTTTGTCTGATGTTTCCCTTTTGTTATGAAGGAAAATTAGCTTTATATGAAAGTCTGCAGCATGGAAAGTTTGAAAACAGGAGGTGGTGCTATCACTGAATTGATCCCTACACATTTCCAGTTCGGTTATCTTTTGCATTTATTGTGTTGGGTGGAGTGAGCACCAGTTTGTTACTAACAAGCCTGGAGACGAACGGTCAGCCATTTCTGGGTCACCTTCACCATTCTGTAAACCATGCTTCGAGTCTCTGTTTGCTGTGTAATAAGCAGATGCTAAGGCTGAGTACTCTTCTCAGAGTTCATAATCTCCACCAGAGGTGACTGCTCCTTTTCCCTCCTGGCCTGTGCTACACTCGCTAAGGGCTAAGTTCTTTCTGGGATCTGCTTTTCTTCTTTAACCTTTTAAAGAATTGAATCATTTTATGAAAATGATCCTCGTGTGTGTGTGTGTGTGTGTGTGTGTGTGTGTGTGCTGCTATTTAGTAAACAATACTTCAACTTTCATCTCAAACAAAAATCAAACATCGTCTGCTGATGATGCTAAAGAAGCTTTCCAGTTCATATTCTGAGAGAACTTAGAGCCACCATTGATTCCTCCAAGAACTAGTTAAATACAACCAACAAGACTATTTATCAATAATAAGAACAGGGGCTGAGTTAGAACAGAGGAGAACATAAATTATAATGACATGAGACCAGAAAAAAACATTCAAAATTCTTAAAACATAAATAAAAGAAACTGTGCCGGGCGGTGGTGGCGCACGCCTTTAATCCCAGCACTCGGGAGGCAGAGGCAGGCGGATCTTTGTGAGTTCGAGACCAGCCTGGTCTACAGAGCTAGTTCCAGGAGAGG